CCTTCTTCCTCACAGCCCTCCTCTCTCTCCTCTCTCCTCCCTCCTCCCCCCCTCCCTCTCTCCCACCCCTCCCTCCCCACCCTCCTCCATCCCTCACCTCCCTCCTCCCTCTCCCCACCCTCCTCCCTCCCCAGTCCACCCTCCCTCCCATCCCTCCCCTCCCACCTCCCTCCCTCCTCCTCCCTCCCAGCCCTCCCTCCTCCCCGCGCTCACCTTGGAAAGATGACGGTCTCTACGACCTGGAAGTCCTGCATGAGCAGGTCACGCTCCGGCTTCGACGACAGACCGCCGACCATGTGTCGGATGCCGAGCTGGATCGACTCCATCAGCTGCGACGTCGCAACCTGGGCAACGGCAGCATCCCCACCCCACCGCGTCCATCCTCAGCATCCCCACCCCCACCGCGTCCATCCTTCTCAGCATCCTCGCGCGCAGCTTCAGAAGCCATTTTTTCTCCTCGTAGAAGGATGGACGCGGTGGGGGTGGGGATGCTGAGAAGGATGGACGCGGTGGGGGTGGGGATGCTGAGAAGGATGGACGCGGTGGGGTGGGGATGCTGAGAAGGATGGACGTGGCGGGGGTGGGGATGGAGGTCGAGCATCGTGTCTCTTGACAGGTAGCGGTATGTCCAACTTATAGCCACCACCCTTCTTGTGAAACACCCAACCCCGGCCACGTGAATTTTATTCCCACTCAGATAGTGGTATTGATTTGCATAAGCAGCGCTGATTGGCTGGCGATTGCACGCCATCTATGGTAAACACTGTATTGTTTTTTTGTAACTATATATATAGTTTTATGACACTATTCTATTCTGTAGTCTGTAGACCGTGGGCCCTATACACCTCTTAACAACACAATTAAGTTGCAGTGAAGTGAGACAGTACTCACTCTACCGTGTCTTTGTCATGTATGTAGAATTATGCTGGTAATATATGTGGTGCTATGTCAGTATCTGCTACCTGTTGCTGTCGTCTTTATTTTAATGAAAATCCGCAATGAATTTACATGGAAAGCTGGGTAGTGAGATATATTTCTTGCTGTGCATTGGCAAAGTTGTGCCAAGATGAACTCGCTCTTTTAGACATGATGAATGCACTTGGGCGCACACAGGTGAAAGTCAGAAGTCGCTAACTCGTGTTATTCACTCCTGCTAAAGTCTATAGCGAAGCGGACATAAGCCTGTATTACAAGTTATTTTAGACTCGGCGCCACCGCGCCAGCGAGCCAATCGGCGCCTTTGTTTAGCGTCATGGCAACAGAGAATCATGCCAATCAGCTGTTTATGCAAATCAATGCCACTATCTGAGTGGGAATAAAAAATCACCCTCCCCCTGACCCTCGCCCCCCAGCCACCCACCTTCTTGTAGGACACCCTCCCCTCCGCCCCCGACCCGCCCCCGGCCCCCCACCCTTCTTCGTACGGACCACCCTCCCCCACCCCCGACCCGCCCCCGCCCCGCCCCACCCCGGCCCCGCCCTCCAGGCCACCCACCTTCTTGTAGGAGACCTGACCCGTGGCGTCGACGCGCCGATGGCCAATCTTCTTCTTCTCCCGCTCGCCGCGCATGCTCGCTTGGCTGCGCAGCGTCGCGGGCTTCAGCGGCGCCCCCTGGGAGAGCGACGTGCGTGGGCTGCGCTTGTCCGCGGCGCCGCCAGCCTCGGTGGCGCCCTCTATCGTCACCACCGGGTTGATCCGGATCATGTTGGTCGAATTCTCTGGAAAAACGGGAAAAGGAAAGACACCGTTATTATTATCGATTATTAAGAATATTTATACATAATATAAATAATATATGATATATTTTATTTATTATTCATATATATTAAAGATTATTATTAGTGTTATTATTATTTCGGCCGCGCCACCGACAATGTCGCGCGACCGCGAGCGCAGCCTGACCTGTATACAAGGATCATTTCCCAGCCAAACAGTAAAATAACGCTGAGGTGGGGGGGTTTAAAAACAAAACCGAAAGCAATCCCTGTACGTATGGGAGCTGCGAGGAACGAGCGGCAAGACAGACCGGCAGTATGATGCATAATCCGAAAATCCGAAATCCGCAATCCGAAATCCAAAATCCGAAAATTAAATAAAAAAATTACATCCGAAATCCAAAATCCGAAAATTACATCCAAATCCAAGTAACCAAGTGACCACTATAGAGAGGTGCCCGTGAACAAGCGTTCGGCTGTACACACGACTAACAGTCAGGGACTGTCAGGCATCACTAGCGGAAACTTCGTTCGGCCGTGCGAATTTCCCCGCGTCGCCGTGAAATAACCGCGAAATAACCGGAAGCTGTGCTATGCGGCGCGCTCCGAGAAACCCCGCCACAGCAAAAATAGCCTGCAAATTTCATTGCCCGCCATCATCATCCCGAGCAGCAGCAGCAGCCCTGAGGCTACATCATATATATATATAATATATATGATGTATCTAGCTCTCTCTCTCTCTCGCCTCGCTCTCTCTCCTCTCTCTCTCTTCTCTCTCTCTCTCTTGGTCATCCCTCTCTTCTCTCTCTATCTCTCCTCTCTCTTCTCTCTCTCTCTTCACTCTCTCTCCACAGCACAAGCAACAAAGAAGTATTTGCACTATAACACATGACTGGCCGACCGCCTACGTGCCGAAAAATATCTGGTAACCGGCAGCAGTAACGGCAGCCAGTAGCCGGCGCGGCGCAGTAGCAGCATGCACAGTCAGTAGCAGGCAGCAGCCAGCCGTAGTAGCCAGCAGTAGCGGCGCGGACGGCGGCTGCGAGTAGCCAGCAGCAGCAGTAGGCAGCATAGCAGCAGTATGGCAGCAGCCAGCTAGCAGCAGCAGCAGCAGTAGCGGGCTGGCGGCGGGCGGCAGTAGCAGGCAAGCATCAGTACCATGTACCAGTAGCAAGCGCAGCCAGCAGCAGCGCAGTAGCGGTGGCGGCGCGGTAGTAGCAACAGCAGCAGTACGCAGCAGTAGTGAGCCAGTAGTAGCAGCAGCACAGCAGGCAGCAGCAGCAGTAGTACCCCGTAGTAGCTAGCTGAGGTAGCAGTAAGCAAGCAGCAGCAAGTAGTAGCGTAGTAGCAGCAGCAGCAGCAGCAGCATGAGTACTCCGTAGTAGTAGCAGTAGCAAAAAGAAGCAGCAGCGAGTATAACAGTAAGTAGCAGCCAGCAGCAGCAGAGTAGTACCCCCGTAGTAGTAGCAAAGTAGGCAGCCAGCAGCAGTAGTAACAGATTAGTAGCAGCAGTAGCAGTAAGCAGCAGGCCGCAGCAGTAAGCGGGTCGTGCGGCGGCGGCGGCGGCAGCAGCAGCCAGCCAGCAGCAGTAGTTAGCAGTTAGTAGCAGTACAGCAGCAAGCCAGCAGCCAGCAGCTAAGTAGCAGCAGGCAGGTATAGCAGCAGCAGCAGCAGCAGCAGCCAGTAGTAGTCAGCAGCAGTAGCAGTGAGCAGCTAGCAGTAGCAGCAGCAGCAGTAGTAGCAGTAGTAGGCAGCAGCAGCGCAAGCAGCAGCAGCAGCGAGTAGGTAGCAGTAGTTAGGCGAGCACAAGCAGCCGCAAGCAGTAGAGATAGCGAACGACGGCGCTGACTATAGAATTTAAATGCCCGAACGTATGCGGAACAGACACGTACATATGATGTTTCATAATACATGATATTACATTTACTTTTGCACATAATAAATAATATACGTATATAAATATTATAATATATATATATAATATATATATATATATATATTATATATATACACACACAACTGACAGCACACACACACATACGAATTTCGCGCGAAAGCGAACTCCTATCAGACTATCCACTTATAGACTCTGGACTCTATGTATATATATATAAACACATAGTTGAGATATTTGCGCGCGCGCGCGCACACACACACCACACACAACACGACACACACACACACACACACACACACACACACACACACACACACACACACACCCACGCACGCACGCACGCACGCACACGTATACATTCCGAAGCGTTAGAATCGGATTCTATCACTCGCCCAACACCGTGTGACAGCGAAAGCCATGCTCACAACGTTGCCACAGGTTTCTCCTCTCGGCGCGTGGCGAGATGCTGTACTCACACCTCTCCCCTCCCCTCTCCCCCTTCCCCTCCGCCTCTCCTCTCCCCCTCCCCTCCCCTCCTCCTCTCCCTCCTCCCCGCCGCCGCCCTACAACCTCCCCTCCTCCTCTCCCTCCTCCCTCCTCTCCCCCTTCCCCTCCCCTCCGCCTCTCCCCCTTCACCTCCCCCCCCTCCCCGCCGCCGCCAGCACAGCAGTTCTACATGCATTCTACGGGTAATTTGATGACACACGGGGACATGTCAGCGCAGCAGTGACAGTGTTCCGTGATTACTCGATAACTAGTGAAGAAAGAAGCCATAGCTACACAGCCTGCACTTGACATCAGCTGAGAGTACATATTTTGATATATATGTATATACTAATATATATAATTATATATAGCCAATATATGGTGTCTCCAATTNGACCACCCATTGCGAGACAAACGGGATATAGCAAGCAAGTTTCATTTCCGCAATGCATAACGTTTTTAACCCTACATAATTATATGTGCACACACATACACACGCACGCACGCACGCACGCACGCACGCACGCACGCACGCACGCACACACACACACACACACGCACGCACACACACACACACACACACACACTCACGCACGCACGCACGCACGCACG